CTCCCATTCTGTTCAATAAGACTTGCACTTTGTAAAGGTGTCTTGTGGTGCAGCGGTTAAACTGCAGCGTTGCAAACCCAGACGCAGCTCACAGCCTGAGTCGGATCCTGAAAGGCCCAGGGAGCCAAATCAAGGTTCACTCAGCCTTCCAAGGTCAGTAAACTGAGTACTCAGCTGGCTGGGCAAACAATGTGTAGTTTGCATAATTAAACTGTGATACTTCCAGTAGGCAGTGGTGGCATTCCCTGGTGGTGGTGGAGACAGAGCCCCAGCACATGCCTCTCTCTCTCTCTCTCTCTCTCTCTCTCTCTGTGTGTGTGTCCCTCTCTATTGCCTCTATCAGACCATTTCCTTTATTGCCTCCAGTCAGATAGCTTGTGTGTTTTTCAGAATGAGCCCTCCTTCTAAACAGACCTCCATTCGCACTTCCTCCAAGGTGGCAGGAGCCAGCTTACCCTGTCGCCTGTCTGCTTTCCTGCCTGGTTAGCATGGCTTGGGTACTACCTTCCTTTCTGCACCTCCCTCTTGTGTGCATGCACAGAAGGGGTTAAACCTTGTGTGGAATCAGTCCCCCTTTTCCCCCCACACTGCAAGCCAGTCATTGGGCTGCTTGGAAGACTGTACTTCTCTCCTTCTCCCCTACCTGGTTTGCGCTCCCTCCCTCCCCCCTCCCTCCCCCCCTCTGTTCTTCTTGTTGCTGCTGTTCAATTTCTGGGTCCAAGAAAAGGAGGATGAGGTGGGTAGAGACACAGGTGGAAAGCCTCTGCATTGCAGAAGCTGTACAAGAAGAAGTTGGTGGGGGTGGTCTCTGGATGGCCGATCTTTCCTCCCCTCCCCAAGCATTCCAGTCTCAGCCCCTCCCCAGGTAGTTGCAGAGAAATCATAACTTGAAGCATGCGAATGTGTGCACACACATGCTTGGGAAAGAAGGGGTAATAAATTGTGTGATACGTTTTGATTTGCTTAGCTGCATTGGTAGAGTCTGAATTCTACTGACAATTTAAAAAAAATAATTTCAGTTAGTTACACATTCAATTGTTTCAAATTGCCCTGAGATCCTTTCTTTTTCAGTTGGAAGGTTAAGCTGTCAATGAATGAATGAATGAATAAAGAGGTCCTTAGAGGATAAAGCCCTATCATTTCAGCACTGAAATCATGCCCATGTTTACCATCCTCTCTGAGCTCTGGCTTCTAAGATAATCATCATCATCTTAGAACTGAACGCTGGAAGGGATTCTGTGGATCATCCAGTCCAGCCCCTGTCAAGGAGGCCCAGCAGGGATTCGAACTCCAAACCTTTGGCTTTGCAACCCAATCGAACTCCAAACCTTTGGCTTTGCAGCTCGAGACCTAAACCACTGAGCTACCCGGCAGTGACACTTACAGGAGGATTCTCCTTGTTATTATCCTCTGAGATCAAATGAGCAGACGTTATGCTTTCTCTGTGGGGGCATCTTTCCGGTAGAGCTCCCTACTTAAGCCTTTCCAGTGGATCAGCCCATTGGGAACGTTTTGGAAAGTTATGGGGTTGGTCCTGATGGATCAGATGGTAGATGGTGAAGGAATCACCCCTTGCCTAGTTTCTGTACCACAAGCATAAGAGACACAATTGTTGTTTGGAGATGTCCTGTTAAGGCAAGGTGGGCAATCTCAGCAGATCTAAGGGCCCTTTTTTGGATTGCACTCCCAAGGGGCGGGATGGAATGAGCTAATTTGCATATTTAAAAATTCTATTTTATTTTAATGTCACAGCAATGTTACCAGCAAGGGGGGTTACAATGGGGTTTTCTTAACTGATTTATTTATTTATTTATTTATTTTGGTCCAGATAGGCGGGAGATATATATATATACTTTCTGATTTTATATTGGAAGCCACCTAGAGTGGACCGTTGGTCCAGATAGGCGGGATTATATATATCCAGGAAGGCCTGGATAAACAACCATGTTTTTAATTGGGTTTTAAAGCTTAACTGGAAAAAAAAGTTCTTTAACTGTCAAAACCTTCTAGTATCCAGAAGTGCGGCTGAGAGTTCTGACCCTGAGAGAAGCCCAGAAAACAACCACTAGAAATAGGGCCTTCTCGGTGGTAGCCCCACAGCTGTGGAACTCTCTCCCACCCGAAGTCCGCCTGGCCCCTTCTCTGGGCTCCTTCAAAAAGCTACTAAAAACCTCCCTGGAAAAGACCCTGATGTGGGAAAGTGTGAAGGCAAGAGGAGAAGGGAATGACAGAGGATGAGATGGTTGGACAGTGTCATCAAAGCAACCAACACGAATTTGACCCAACTCCGGGAGGCAATGGAAGCGAGGAGGTGGGGTATTCTGGTCCATGGGGTCACAAAGAGTCGGACATGACTAAACGACTAAACAAGAAATTTAGACAGGCCTTCCCTGAACAAACAATACAACAGTGCCCGATAATATAACATCTATCATACTGCCATGCTCCATATTTTTATATATTTCTACGCTTTTAATTGTATTTATTGTATTGTTATTTTATCCTCACTGCACTTTATGGCTTTTGAGTTGAATATAATACATTGATGCTATGATGATGATGATGATGATGATGATGATGATGATGATGATGATGATGATGATGCTACTTTATTGTTTTGTATTACTTGTCGTAAACCACCCAGAGTGGCCTTGGCTGCCAGAGGGGCAGTATATTAATCAAATAAATAAAATAAAATAAAGAGGCCAACCCCCCCCAAAAAAACACTTTTTTAAAAAGACAAACATCAAAATAGAGGTGGTGAGACTCTGGGAGAGTTGGGATCCCCTCAAAATATGGCAAAGTATCTCCAACCTTTTAGAGCAGCATTTCCCAATCTTGGGTGCCCAGGTGTTCTTGAACTACAACTCCTTCACCACTAGCATAATGGACAGGATTTCTGGGAGTCATAGTCCAAGAACATCTGGGGTCCCAAGATTGGGAACCATGACTCCAAGGCGTTCACAGGGCGATGGCCTGTGCATCAGCTTTCTTGAAATATCCCAGTGGCCAATCGCTGTACCCTGACAGGCTGGAAAAGAATGGGCTTGGGTGGTGTAGCAACGACCACTTACTTATTAGTTATCCACCTTTTTTAGAGTGATCATTTCTCACGATTATTTCCTTACAGCATTTCTGTAGCGCTTTTCATTTTCAAAAAAATCTCACGGCCTTTTATAATAAATCCAAATGCAACAAAACGGAAGCTAAAAAAAATAAAGCATGCAAGGATAGAAACCTGAAGCAGAAGGACTGCCTTTGTGGGGATTGGTCACACCAGGGGAGGGTAGAGGAGAATTTCCTTGCTTCCTACACAATCTCCAATGGGAGAGAATTAACTATGCCAGCTTTCCTGCAAGCACGGGGGTGAGTGGTCTGGAAAATGAAGGAGCAGAGGATTGTCCCCCGACTTTCCCCCACCCACATCATGGCGTTTTCAGCTCCACCTCTGGCACAGCTAGCTGGAGGGCTGAAAGCTCTGCAGCCATGCAACCTCTGGCCACAGCTGGCCCTACCATGAGGCATAGTGAGGCAGTAGCCACAAGCTGGATGGTGTGCCACCTTTCCTTCCTTTCTCTACTCTCGGCTAACATGCAGTCTTGAGGTAGGTGGGAGAGTGCTTATCCTCCTGCCAGGGTGTTTACGAAAGATTCAAAAGCTGATGCAACAGAAGTGAGGCAGTAGCCACAAGCTGGATGGTGCGCCACCTTTCCTTCCTTTCTCCACTCTTGGCTAACGTGCAGTCTTGAGGTAGGTGGGAGAGTGCTATTCAAAAGCTGATGCAACAGGTGGCTTTTGTGCATGGAACAGGAGGGTGTGCCATGTTGGTTGGGTTTGGTTTTCTGTCCGGGGGAAGAAAACACCTTGAACCAGCTCTGTCTCTGCCATAGACAGCCTTCTCCATGGGCGACCCTCCCTTGTTGCCAATGAAGATTTCACACCAATGAACATTACTCATTTGGTTTCAACCTATCAAGTCCTAAACAGCTTATTAAACCAAGATCCCTCAAGGTCTCCCTTTATGAACCTGTCCAGATATTGACATAATCAGGGGAGACCTTTCTCTCAGTCCAGCCACCTTCACAGGTGTGTTTAGTAGGGCACAGGACAGGGCTTTCTCTGTGGCTGCTCCCAGACTTTGGAACTCCCTCCCACAGGAGACCAGATTGGCCCCATCTTTGCTGTCCTTCCGCAAGCAGGCAAAGAGCTTTCTCTTCAGACAAGACTTTCCCTGAGTGACTGACTGGCAAGAGGAAGTTTTTAAATGGACGGTTGTGCCTTACTGCCTTGAATGTGTTCTTAGTGTTGCTTTTGTTTACCATTTTTAGTGTGGTATTTGTTTAATCCTTTTAAATATTTGCATACTTGCTACTCTTCGCTTTAAATATGGCCTTTTACTGATGTACACTTTCTTGAGTCCTCTTTAAGGAGAAAGGTGGGGGTAAAAAAATATTTTAAATAAATCAATAGAATGAATCCTCAGCCAGCACAGCACATCCCTGGAGTGCTCTCATGAAATAAGTGCTGTCCCACTTTTGATAGTTTTTAACAGAAATTGTAAGATGTTTTCATTTCACATTTGATTAAGCCTTCTGATGAATTCATGCACATGCGTTCGGTGGTAAAGGAGTGTGATGTGGCTTCAATTTGATGCCTTTGTGTATTACCCCATTTTCTGGATTCCGAACAGTACAACGTGCCACACAAGGTAGATTACAAATCCTGTAATAAATTATAAATCAAAGATTTCCGGCCACAGTTGATGACAAGTGATATCAAAACTCTGCTTGTGATCTTGGAACTGTAATGATGGCTTCGACCAAGCAAATCAGCGTTTGACGGTGTAACCTCTGAATGATGAACACATACGTGTGAATCCATTATTATTGATCTTACAACCATCCAAAATCCTATATTGATAGTCACTGGCTTACAGTTCCTTACTGGAAGAGCATCGGATGAAACCCCATTGCCCAGGATCAGGACCGGCGAATACTTACAGCTGTCTTCTTCTTCCGTAAAAACACTGACAACATAACAGGCATAGACAAAGCCCACGAGCTGGAAAGAGAAAAGAGCGGAGAAATGGATGAATCTCATGAATATTGCACCAAAGACTATAATCTGTGCTTTCAAGAAGATATTCATAGAAGCATTTTCCTCATGCTTGCTTGATTGCTGATTGAGACATCATATACTTCTTGTTTTTTTATTATTATTTCATTTCTCTTGCCTTTTTTTAATAGAAGGAAACATGCACATATGTCACTGTCACCGCTTACAACAAAAAATGTCAAAAGTTGCTACTGGGTGAAATTATGAGAGATTTTGTGTACTTTTCACATTTCAGTACTTTTTTGTTTAAAACAAAACAAAACCCCAAAACCATAACAGTGCTTTTACACGAAACTAAGGACTAGAATATTTGTAAGTATTTGACAATAATCTCCTAGCCAGCTAAGAAATCACTGGAGACTTCACCAGTTTCATACTGAGTCACTGAGCTCAGTATAGAACTAATAATGTCCATGGTGAGTTCTTAACTTGGGGCTATTTGTCTCCAAAAGTTATGTCACTTCTACTACACCAGAGTAACTAGGAAATAAGATTTGGACCATTATTTCCTCAGTCAGTCAGAAAAGGAACGTCAGGTCTTCTATGAACTGCATTGTTTCCATTGTTGGCTTGAACATCCTGGGATCCATCACACCCAAATGAATAAAGCAAGTGGTTTGTCTCTTAATATGAGGCTCAAAAGAATTGCTTTTGGTGAAACAGGTTTTTTGTTTCCTTCCTGGTTTATTTATTTTTTTTTTACCAAACAATGAAAAGCATTATTCAACTTCTCCTTTCCAGTTGAGAGCCCTTGTAGCCAAATACATTCCCGAATCCCTGCCCCCCCCGAGAAACCTCATTATCCTGCCTTTTGTTCAGTGATGTGATGTATGTTTCTCTTGTATTAAAAATGAATGACTTCACTTTTCAGAGCCTCCTCGTGCATCATTCTGTCTTCCTGTGGTGTGAGTAATTGTTAGATTCTAATTCCTTGTTAAAGTGGATTGAGTTCACAGTGGAAAACAAATAATTAGCGCCAACAGTAGTGTTTGAAATACAGTCGTAAGCAAGTCTGTACCAGCAAAGAATGCCGGTGCGCATCAGAGACTCTTTGCACCTGGACTGGACACCATTTCATAACTGCCTGTAATAGCTTTGAAAAGCCTTTATGTTGATTGTTTGCCTTATCTCTGGTGGCATTCTTACTTATAATTCTCAAGCCTGGGTACAGCCTCAAAGAGTGGCCGAGATGATTTCACTCTGCTACAGTTCTTGTGAGCAGATGTTGAGATGGGCCCCCATCTCCTTGACCTGCACGAGCCACCCAAAAATTCTGCAGCAAAGGCAAGCATCTTAATCCCATTGATAGCTGGAACACGGCAAGGAGATTGCTGTCTCCAGGTGGCCATGACAACCTTTTGAAAAGGTCGCCTTAGCCATCTGTGGCATCGGCGTCCTTTTAGCATCCTGCAGACACACCACCGTGTGACATTTTAGGAAGAAGTATCGTTTGTTTACGAAAATGAAAAATTACTGAGGTGGATTAGGAGGAAAGCAAAACATTTCCATCACTCTGTAAGATCATTCTGGCACAAGCCACGCTGTGGGACTCAAAAGGACGTGGAAGTGCAGATTAGGAGGAAAGCAAAACATTTCCATCATTCTGTAACATCAGTCTGAGCCACCCTGTGGGACTCAAAAGGACGTGGAAGTGCCTTGGACACAAGAGTGCAGGAAGAAATACTTGTTGGAAATCAAAGATAAATAGGAGCTTAAACTGTTCCTAATGGCTTTCTCTCCAGTGCATCCATGCCTGTTGGGATGTGAAATTCCTTATAAACTTACCAGTGTAGGTGAAGGGTAGAGGCAGGGCGTCATGGAACTAGCCATGGTGCTGAAAGATGGCACAAACCCAGAAAACAGCCACAAGTATACTTTTTTGAGCAGTCAGTGTTTAATGATGATGAGGATGGGATTTCTTTAAATTAATGAACTCCTAGGCCTATAATTCAATGAGAATACATTTATGGAGACAGCCTCCATCCGAAACCTGTCGCCCATGCACAGTGCAATGTGGCTGCTGCAAAAAAGGAAAATGCTATTTTAGGATGCACTAACAGAAGTAAACTCTCCAAATCCCATGAGATACTAGTCCCCCTCTATTCAGCACTGATTAGGCCACATCTAGAGTCCTCTGTCCAATTCTGGACACCATACTTTTAAGACGGATGCCAACAAACTGACGCAAATTCAGTGGGCAACAACGATGATCAGGAGACTAGAAACCGAGCTCTATAAGGAAAGACTGAAAGAACTGGGCATGTTTAGCCTTGAGAAAAGAAGACTGAAGGGAGATAGGATAGCACTTTGCAAATACTTGAAAAATTAGTCCTACAGGGGAGGGGCAGGATCTGTTCTTGACCCTCCCAGAGTGCAGGACAGGCAACAATAGAATCGAGTTGTAAAGGTAAAGGTTCCCCTTGACAATTTTTGTCCAGTTGTGTTCGACTCTAGGGGGCGGTGCTCATCCCCGTTTCCAAGCTATAGAGCCAGCATTTTGTCCGAAGACACCTTCCCACCGAGGTCGTAGCTATTTATCTACTTGCATTTGCATGCTTTCGAACCACTAGGTTGGCGGGAGCTGGGACAAGCAACGGGCGCTCACTCCGTCATGTGGATTCGATCTTATGACTGCTTGGTCTTCTGACCGTGCAGCACAGGCTTCTGTGGTTTAGCCCTTAGGATCAAGTTAAAGGAAGCCAAATTTCAGTTGGATATCAGATAAAACCTCTTCACTGTTAGAGCAGTACAACAGTGGAACCAATTACCTCGGGAGGTGGTGAATGCTGCAATGCTGGAGGCATTCAAGAAAAATTTGGACAACTATCTCTCTCTCCAATCTGCTTTGATTTGGATTCCTGCACTGAGCAAGAAGTTGGACTAGATGGCCTTAGAGCCCCCTTCCAACTCCACTATTCTATGATTCAATGATTTGTGAGTTGCGGGGAATCCTCACAAACCCCATGGTGCTACAACATACTTTTCTATGGGTGCAAAGAGAGAGTGTGGGAATGTCATGGTGGCAAGAGTTCTGCTCTACCTTCTGCTGATTTGATAGCTTCCTGTCCTGTAATTCAGATTGGAGCTGAGGAATTTCCACCAAATGATGGGACTAGGAATTCTGAAAATCTCATCCCTATATTTTCCAACAATCACCGAGCATATCCTTTGGGCTTCAGATAGGTAACAATGAACAGATATCATAACACCTCAAATGCATTGATTAATCCACCTTCATTTCACATCTCCCTCTCTCTCACTTTGTCCTTGGCTACCCAAAGTCAACTTGAAACAAAATATCTTGCCATATTTATTTTTGAAGAACCAAGACTCAGGGTTTGTGAGAAAAATATATGCTGTGTGCTTCTCCTCCACCCTTTTCTATGCAGGTATTATCAGGTAAGATAAATGCTAAGATCTTGAATTCCTTCAGGAATGAGGAGGCTTGGCGTTTGAAAGAAACTTGAGATTAAAATGAGATATAAGAACCCTCATGGCTGCCAAGGAACTAAGAGAAAGCTCTGTTTACCTCATTTTATTGGTGAAATTAACAAAATATCCCTTAGTGTCATTGTTTGCTTACTGCATCACACTTAGGAAAGCTAAGTATCAAAATACATTAACCGATTGACATACGATTAAAAATTAATCACTGCTAAAGAAATACAAGCCTTGGATGCTGACAGTGATAACTTCATATGTCCTTGGAAGGGTAATAAGCAAATAGATTCTCCCATTTTTTAATTTGCTCAGATTATTTATAACCTACTGTATCTCAAGGACTTAGGCATAGGATAATGAAATTGTAACCCAGTATATCCTAAATCTGCTGATGGAGGACTAGAAATGCAGTCCATGTAAGACCGGTGCTAGAATATCAACAACAGAGCAAGAACAACAGCAGAATCTGAAGGCTGTCACTGGGACTCACTTGTCTTCACTAATAATATATGAGCTTTTTAATTAGATAGTCATTTAACTTCATTCCTTGGAAACAGAAGACCACTTACACTGCTGACCCAACTTGTCCAGAGACTGGGACCTTTGATCCTCCAGTTGATTTAAACTTCAATTCCCAGAACCCCACCAAGCATAGGCAGCCTTAACGAAACTGTAATGGTAGTAGTTAAGAACACCTGGAGGGCAAAGATTCTCTAGTCCAGCATGATGTTCACCAATCAAATGCTGATCCAATACCAATTTTTCCCAGCAAGCACTGGGGCCACTTCCTTTTCTCACAGAAAGTTAGGCCTATCCTAGACCATGAAGCCTTACAAGTGAGCACAATGTAGACATGGGTCTGGTAGGCAGAATTTCTACAATGGAGAATTCTGAGATTTAGAATTAAAAAAGAAAACCCCAAACATCTGAATGGCATATATCTATTAGATATCTCTGGGAATTAACCTGCAAAATCTGGAGCTGATACTCAGCCTCCTTCCTTTATGCCCAGACGGAAGTACTCACAGCGGCATTTACTGTTTCATTTCAGGAATCCTAGTTCAACACATCTAGAGGGGCTGCTGTTTGAGGAAGACCCATAAGGAGCAATCTACACATTGCATGTGAATGCATGTTAACGTAAGTCTAAGACTCCTTTGAATAATGGAAAGCTGCTTTGGGAGATGAACATCTAGAAGGGAAATACATTATCGAAGAGAGAGCAGAATTTTGAGAAGTTCTTTTCCTCCTCTTCTAATTGCAACATGGACCCACAAGCCACTTCACAAAATGGCTGGCTGGAAGAAAGAAGTATTAGCCAGAATCCTATCAGCCATGCCTACCAGCCTAACTCAATCGGCACGACTGCTGTTGGCGAATTGCCACAAATTAAGAAGTCAGGAATAGGCATCTCCTGTTGACCAACATCACATACAGCATCTAATGCCTTTGCTTCCTTCTTAACCTACAGCAATTTGTCGCTAAGCTTTATGCCTATTGCATTA